AATCTTATTATTACTATTATTTTTTTGAGACAGAGTCTCAAGCTGTCCCCCTGGGTAGAGTGTGGTGGTGTCATAGCTCACAGCAACCTCCAACTCCTGGGCTCAAGTTATTCTCTTGTCTCAGCCTCCTAGTAGCTGGGACTACAGGTTCCCGCCACAATGCCTGGCCATCTTTTGGTTGCAGTTGTCATTGTTGTTTAGCAGGCCCTAGCTGGATTCGAACCCTTTACCCTTGGTGTATGTGGCTAGTACCCTGCTGACTGAGCTGCAGGTGCCACCTATATATGGTTTTTTAAATTAAGAAATTTACTTTGGATTATAACCAATGCAGATTTTTTCTTTTTGAGACCGAGTTTCACTATGTCACCCTCGGTAGAATGCTGTGATGTCACCGCTCACAGCAACCTCCAACTCTTGGGCATAAGTGATTCTCTTGCCTCAGCTTCATAAGTAGCTGGGACTATAGGTGCCTGCCATGATGCCCAGCTATTTTTGGGTCGCCCTTTTCATTGTTGTTTTAGCAGGCCAGGGCTGGGCTTGAACCTGCCGGCCTCGGTGTATGTACCTAGTGCCCTACTCACTGAGCTACAGGGGCTGAGCCCCAGTGTAGATTTTAATAAACGGTGAAGAGGCAATTGTTTAAATTAAATCCACTATGTAGACAAAAATTCCACAGCCTAGTGGGTGTAGAGTTTTAATCTATCTAATAATTAACACTGTTTTTGCCAAATAAGTCTCTTCATTAGAGAAGGTACCATAGGCCCCTTTATCTATGGTTTTACTTTTCTCACTTTTAGTTACCCATGTCAACCATGGTCCAAAAGAATAAACAATTGGTCAGTTTTTGGTTTTTTTTTTTTTCTTTTTTGCAGTTTTTGGCTGGGGCTGGGTTTGAACCTGCCACCTCCAGCATATGGGGGCAGCGCCCTACTCCTTTGAACCACAGGCGCCCCTCAATTGGTAAGATTTTTTGAGACAGAGCCTCAAGCTGTCCCCCGGGTAGAGTGCTGTGGCATCACAGCTGACAGCAACTTCCAACTCCTGGACTCAAGCGAGTCTCCTGCCTCAGCCTCCCAAGTAGCTGGGACCACAGGCGCCCGCCACAACGCCCAGCTCTTTTTTGGTTGCAGGCGTCATTGTTGTTTGGAAGGCCTGGGCTGGATTCGAACCCGCCAGCTCAGGTGTATGTGGCTGGTACCGTAGCCACTTGAGCCACAGGAAATGAGCCAATTGGTAAGTTTTAAATTCTGCACTGGTTTGAGCAGCATGACAAAAACTTATGTCATCAGTCTTGTCCCACCAGTGCATCCAGGCTGTGTAGGCTGTGAACCTTTAGTCACTTTAGTAGGCATCTTTAAGATCAAATCAATTGTCATGGTATGACAGTGCTTGTGTTCAAGTAACTCTTACTTTACTTAATTGTTCTATTTTATTATTATTATTATTATTGTTAATCTCTTACTGTGCCAGATTTTAAAATTAAACTTAGATGTAGGAAAAAACTATAGGTTTTGGTACTATCCACAGTTTTAGTTATCTGCTGGGAGTCTTAGATTATATTCTTTGAGGATGTGGGGAACAACTGTGTATACATTTTCTAATGTAGAAAGTTCTCATGAGTTCTTTGGCATTGGCTAATCTTTTTCATGCAATATGTATATTTGGTTAAAAGTGTTCTTTTTTCTTTTTTTTTTTTTTTGAGATAGAATCTCACTCCGTCACCCAAGCTAGAGTACAGTGGCATCATCATAGCTGATGGCAACCTCCACTCCTGGATTTAAGCAATGTTTTTGCCTTGGCCTCCTGGGTAGCTGGGGCTATAGACATGTGCCATTATACCTAATTTTTAAATTGTTTGTAGAGATGAGATCTCACTGTATTGCCCATGCTGGTTTCAAACTTACAGCCTCAAGCAGTCCTCTTGCCTCAGCCTCCCAAAGTGTTATGCTTATAGGCATGAGCCACCATGCCTGGCCCCCAGTTATTTTTATTGTCATATTATTGATGTTAATGATTTCCAGAATAAAGTAGATTTTAAAAGATGTACAACTCTACTTTAATATTCTAACAACTGGGACATATATTTAACTGTTCCTGTAAATAATTTAAAATAATTTTTATATAGGCATATTTGTGTAGAGTGGGGCATTCACAGTGATAAAGAATTATGTCATAACTTGAGTGTGGGAAATAATTGGTAGATTTTAAAAAATATATATTCATAAAGCATTAAAGTCTTTGTATTATCATTACATTATCTGATTAATAAGTAGGTTTTCTATAAAGCTATGTACACGTTATTAAAACATGAACTTTTAGTACAGAGTTTGTGTCAATTATTGATTGTTAATTACGCTGCATCAAAATTATGATGGTGATTATATTATATTTAAAAAGCCCCAAAGTGTGTATATTTAGTTTGGAAATGTGAGCCATAAGTATATGTACTAACTCATATTCAGAGGAGACATCTATGTACAATGCCTTGGTAGTTTGGAGAACTCTAAAATGTCACAGTCAGGGATAGGTGTGACACTTGTTAGTATGAATGACAGTGTATATATGAAATAAAAGGTCAGTTTGCTTAAGTACTTTCTTTGGGGTGAGAGAGGAGCTATATTCTGTGTCCATTTTACTTCCAATTTAATATTTCTATTTTAGCCATTCAAACTTTTTCCAGTTTTGTGAACAGGGTCAGGACTAAACTAACATAAGTTAAAACAATCATATAAATCATGCCTATTTAAACTTCTTTTGGTTTGAAATCATAGTGAAGAAACTTTATTATGATTAGATTTTTCCTTCTCTCTGATGCCATCCATTTAGGAATCAGCATTCCAGAATAGTTGGTATAGCTTTGCATGTTTCTGCCTAGTCATGACAAACCAGCCACTGAATACTCATGGAAAGCAGTACAGTCCTTGTCAGTGGTGGCTTTTCTGTGACAGAGAGCCTGTAGACTGACATAAAGTGCAGACTGTTGTGAACTATCAACTGAGAGGCTGCCAAAAACTCAGCAGACAGAACTAATTGGGGGAGAAAAAAGACTTTTGTGCCCTCTTCACTTGCTTCTTTCTTTCTTTCTTTTTCTTTCTTTTTTTTTTTTTTTAAAGATAGATATTGTTAAAGTGGCTGTTTATGTAAGATTTGTCTGGCTTTCTTTTTTCCTTCATGGATCATTTTTTAACTCAAAGTTTTCACTGCAGGTTGTTGAGCACTTCCACATGGAGGCTGGCACAGGACCAAATTCAAGACACACAGCTCATAACAGTTGATGAAAAATTGGTAAGGATTTTCTGCTATACCCTGCTATGATTTTGCCTTCAGGGTTATTTTTGTACAATAGATATTTAGAATTTTTCTAGGAAAATGATTTGAATTTCTTGATTATACATACATTTTAAGAAGAAATATTATAAAATGGTAAAGATTGTGCTAAGCATTAAGCACTAATGTTAAGTCATACATATATTAAGAAATTAAAATTATGAAAGCTTCCATTTTTGTGGTGTTTTGGGGGTAGCAATTGGAACACTTATTTTTGTAATGAATGCATTTTTTATTTTCTATGTTATAATGTAAAGTGTTATACTATATTGTTTAGTGAAGAATGACAGGGAAATAAAGACTGTTCATGATTAGTGCAGAGCCAGTCATATATTTTTTCCCCCAAATATTTTCGATCTACAGTTGACTGAATCCTTGGTGTGGAACCCACAGATAGGGAGAACCATCCTTATGTCAGTCATAATGTCAGTATGATAATTGATTTCCAGCTGAAATCAATTGAAACCTTGTATATAATTTTTCATAGCTGTTATAGTAATGTTTAATATGGATAACTGAAATCCATAGGTAATTCTCATATCTGAGTTATAGCCATTTGTTTAGGTTTACATTCAAATTAAAGTATTAATCCAGTAGGGACATAGTGCTGATAAGGTTTCATGTCGTCTTCTCACTCCTATACACCCTCTAATGGAAGGTTCAATAAGTAGAATAATGACAAGAGCCAGGGCCCAGAAGGACCTTTCCAGAAATACCAAATAATTGGATTGGATTATATCTGCACTTTGAGCCAAAATGATTCTAAAAAATATGTAGTGACATTAACAATAAAGGTGTTGCAAAATGTAAAGTAACTCTTCATATTTTAAAGGATGTGGAGACAGTATTTTAATACCACTATTATATAATGTAAACCAGTATATTAGATGAGTATACTGTTTTTGTTAACTATGCAATACCAGATAACTATTACATTTGTATCTAAAATTGAATAGAAACTAAAATCTTAATTGAAGTTAAAGGAATTAGCCATCATTACGATTTCTGTTGGATATTCATAAATAATTTACTGTAAAAAATATTTTAAAATTAAGACTGCATCTTAAGTATATAAACTAGACTTAGTTGGAGATCAATGTTAGGGTTATTTCCACTTTTAGAAAATGGATCCTGAGGATCTAAAACCAGAGGATAACTTTAAATGTTACTTACTGACATTACTGTGAATCTAGTTATTTTTAATTATAAAAATTGTTTAACTTTTTGTTCAAGAGAAATCTTACATGGGGATTCAATAAGTAACAAAATAAATAAAAGCTATACTACTAGAGGGTGAAAGTTGGGGGCAGGACACAGAGAAAGACTTATAAGCCTTACCCAGAGTAGCCATCTGAGGGAATTTCATGGAGTAAGATTTGGAATGATAGTTTAATTTTCTACACTTTTTTTTACTAGACTACACAGCTGGTCAGCCAACTTCTGTTTTTATAATTTTCAGTAAGCTGATTTCATTTCTTTGTGAGCCTGCTTTTATATTACTGATGAGTTATAATTATTAGAAAGTTGTTTCTTATGGAAAAAGAATAGTCTTTTCAACAAATGATGATGGAACAATTTTATATTCATATGTAAAACCCTCCATAAATTCTTAACTATACCTCTGAACATACACAAAAGTTAGCTCCCAAGTTCTAAACATAAACGCATGGTGCTAAATTTAAAACTAAAAAATATAAAATTTGTAGAAGAAAACGTAGGAGAAAATTTTGTAACTTTGGGTTTAATAAATATTTTTTAGATACCACACTAAAAGCATGATCCTTTTTTTTATTTTTTATTTTTTTTTTTTGAGACAGAGCCTCAAGCTATCCCCCCTGGGTGGAGT